CCATTATAAGAATATCAGAGATAGCAATCACAATCAAATATTGAGATAGGAATCAGCTACATATAGGAAACCTACCAGTTACATCAGGAAGTGACCTAATGGGTACAGGACCCCATAAGCTGACACAAAAATTATCCCAATCAAAATTACTAAAGAATTCCAAAAATCGGTACAGAACCTGGAAAGGAAATAACATCAGTGGGCATTATAGAGAGCATAGGATCTCACTCGTCAAATGAAGCAAGATTTAAATATAGCACCTCTAAAGGTCCGGTGAAAGTATTATTGAAAACATGAAATATGTAAAGAACCAAGGTCTCCAAGGCATAAGTAGAAATAAGCCCATGATGAGCACCCAATATACGACTCTCGTAGTAGCACCAAGCTTTGATCAATATAATACTACGCTTAAACAGGTGGTTCTGATTAATCAAATGGTCAACCTGCAGAATAAATGTCGTGTCATTCCAATCAGCACATAGTTCCTCAAAATAAAAATGCAAGTATTATAGGATATAAAATCACCTCCTCAAGGAAACATAGGGTGCATAGCCCACCCAACTGATTAAATGATATGTCCACAACAATATTTTCCACAAGACACTTAATAATTTTGACCTGAAAAAGAGCACAAATAAAACATCAGCTCTAAATATAATCTAAATTGTACTACCAATGTAATGTTGTTGTCCCGATTCAGAGTATACTCCCTTTCAAGTAGCAGCTGTACTCAAATGCATTGTTTCATTACATTTGTTTGCAAGCCTTTAAAAGAAGTTAAAGGAAAACATATACGAAGTATTTTTTTACTAGTTTAGTAATTTACCCTGACAGATTAGGAAAAAATCTACACATTCTAGATGAGTTCAGAAATTTTCAAACGAGGAGGAGAGGGCCTGAGAGACAGTTTTGAGGCCAAAACACAGAGATGTGGTGATTCTACAAAATGACAATGAAAATACCAAAAGCTAGAGCAAAAGTATACTACTGTGACTTAGCAACAGAAAAAGGAAATAATAATTTTAAAGGTGAACAGATTCAAAGACAATTTAACAGTATATTCACATCAGCAACACCACCGACGAGAGTAACAATCAACAGCAAGCTACTTACGCACACAGAAAGGTAACGGAAGTTCCCGAGTTGCAAACACAAAGTTACGTTACATTTTGTATTTCATGCTTCTTAAATGATCAGTGCATCAATCTCTAGATTTTTTTTTAAAAATTGAAATTAACTGCAGTAATGATTATAAAGTATTTATGAGAGTAGCAAGAAGCGGGAGATTTTATCTTTCATAACCAAAATCAAATTTACGAACCAAAAAGGAAAGCACTCCCTAATAGAAGTCGAGAAATCCTAGGATATTACATACTTCATACCATTCAAGGACGGGTACCACATAGCAAGGTGAGTAACCACATTATCCATTCTCTTAACATGGATAAAATAAAAGGAGACAAAAGAGGATATACTAGCAAAATGAAAAATAACTGTGAGTATGTAGTGGCATCATAATACAAGTTCACAAAGTCAACATACACTTTGCTAGTCTAAGCACACCCTCACAAAAGAAGTCAAAAAAATTCAGACAAAGAGAGGGTTGATAATATCCCGATAAGGTTTAATGAATTATGGCATGATAAAGGCAAAAGAAAACACAGAATGGGGCAAGAGCGGATGAAAGGAGTGAAGGACTCACTTCTGCCTGAATGTACTGAACCTCTTTCACACGAAATTCAGCATTTTCATTCTTCTCTTCACTTTCTAGTATATCACGCACTTGAGTAGCCCAATTATCCTTAAGAGTCTGATTTTTACTAAATGCTGTTAAATCAATGTCCCCATCCGGCAAATATGTCTTCAAAGGAACGGACCCAAAAGTGAAAACCTGTGAACAATAAATACTAAGAAATTAAAGTATCGCAAAGCAACGGCCAGATAATCAGATATAACTATAAACAGATATCCATGTACAGCTGACCCTTCTGTGCTTAAAGGATCTGATTATCTCAGCAGAAAAATAACCTTGAAGGGGAAAGCATAATTAGACATTCACAAGTTGTACGAAGTGTGCAAATGACAACTCATTGACTAGATCGGCATGAATAATGAAATTGTCAAAAATAAGTTCCTGTATTTAATTTGGTAGATTTGATAGGTTTGCTCTTTTCAGCATAAATAATAACTAATAAGTTATCACAAAATTGTAATTCGAACAAGTTCCAACAAGGTAAAGGCTGCAAAAGTACAATTCACTACTAAAACAAGTTCCTATAAATTCCAATATCTTCAGATAACAGATTTTCAGGTGAAAAGAATGAGTCTTAGAGCATGTTTGGTAAGAGTTTTTTTGGGTTGGAAACAGATTCAATTTAACTATTACCGTTACCAAGTGTTTGGTTAGAAGGTTTGGGTAATAATTACCATTACCTAGGGGTAATGGTTTCCACCTATTTGTTACTTCTCTAAAACCTAAGGTAACAATTACCCTTACCTTTCTCAAACAAAAATAAAGGGAGTTAGGTTAAGTGATTTCATTCCATGGTTAAGCCAAACAAATGAAAAGGTAAGAGTTAAATGATTTCAATCCTCCCTCTTATTTGTTTCCTTTCCACTTCATTTCCAATATTCATACCAAACACCCCCATAATTACCAATGAAAGTGCTTCAAGGGGTAAATATTGGAACTACCAAATGTTGAAAGCAGTTGTTTCGTTCACATGATCACTATAAAAGGTTGCACATGGACTAAGGCACACAGTTGAAACCGAAACAGCAATTTGCAATAGGCTAATTCTAAAAGCATTGACGAATTTAAACAATAGGCAGGGAAACATAATGTACAAACTACTACCAATACTATTACTAGCACTAAATGAAAGGAAAATTCAAGTCAACCAAGCAATCAATCTACACTAAAAAAAATATGCCTAGCAATTAAGCATTCTAAAGAATGTAACTTCACCTGACAAGGGAAGCATTTCATGATCAACCGCTGCACATAATCTGCAACAGCATTTCGCCTTTCTTCAGATGGCTGATTGGGCTGAATGCGAGCTATAAGCTCTTCGATTCTCTCCTCGGCTTTCAACCACCGTTCTGAATCAAGAACACGAATAGCCGAGGCGGTTTCATTGGGCAACAGCCCATTCGGATGTAGCCCACTCGGCTGTGGCCATCCCTCATGCCCGCCCATGCAAGCAAAGGTAATTTCTTTTACTCCAAACTCTACTCCTAAGCAAAAACAAAGCTCCACCCACCAGTAACAACCCAAATTAAGAATATAGCAAAAATATGTATTCTATATCCAAATTAGAACAATAAATATACCCAGAAATTAATTCAAATTAATCAAAATATATTCCCAAATTTGCAAACTATCCCAAAATTGAACCCAAATAATAAGAGGCAGCAAAAATATGATATTACAAACTACAACTTCACTATAAAAACTACAAATTTGATGGTACAACAACAACCCCAATAAAAAAAACAAATTGTAACCCAAAGACCCCCCAAAAAACAGACCTTAACTGAATAGATTAAGGGCAAATTGGGTTACCCAACTTTGGCAGAGAAAACCCTAGCTTAAAAAATGGAGGAACTTTTCCAAAGTGGGTGCAATAATATGACGCTTGAAATGTCGAAAAATGGGTAATTTAATGCTAAAATTGATAGAAAAAGGAAAACCCCAAGTGGGATTTAATGCTTGTTAATAAATTTCTACAAAAGTTTGATGCTACAACAACAAGCACCATCAAAAGCAGAGGCTATGGATCGCAAGAAAAGGAAATGCCCCAGCAAAATGGGAAAGAAGGGAGAATCAGATTTTGGGTATTTTTTGAAATAGGAAATTTGTAAACAAATAAAATAAAAAAATAAAAAAATAAAAAGAAAGATAGAGAGAATCTGGTGGTGTTTGGGGAGGAGAGAGAAAGAGAGGAGGAGGAAGAGAAAGGAAGGAGAAGAAAGAAAGAGAAAAATGGGGGGTTTTGGTTTATTGGGAATTTGATTTGATTTGGTTTGTCAAATTGGGCTAACAACTTTCTTGTTCACAATTGGTGAATTGGATATTTTTGCCCTAGCTTTCAAGCTAAATTTTTTTTTTTTTTTTGGGTGTTACAGCAAAGAAAGGGCCTATGAGTATGACTATGAGAACTAGATATATTGTATGTAGGTATGTAGCCCAACATTATAATAATAGTCTAAGCATGAGTTTATTCTCTTCTGCTTTGGTATTTGATTCATAAATAATAACTCATACGAAATATACAAAAATATTTATGTCTAACAAAAATAATAAATACATGACAATTGAATCAAATGTTTTGTTCTATTACTACATCATACGTTTATAATAAGCTAAACAATCGAAGTTTTATCTTATGTACCAAATTTTCAATTTATTGAATATGTTTAAAGTATGAAATATTAGTTTGATTAATTATACAGGTTGGATATAAAGATAAATTGAAATTTTTTTTGAATAATGTGATGTTTAATACGGAGTATTGATCATTAGTTATTAGTTTATTACCCATCTTTTCTTTTTTTTTGAAAGAAAGTTTATTACCCATCTTAGGACCGCATATAATAATTATTTAAGGAACACAAAATCAAACAATTGTTACATGAAATCATTTGAAAATTAAAAAAATATTATTAAAGGATTTAAGTATGTAGTACCTATCTTGAATTTTGAAAATTATCATCTTATGAGTTAACAAATTTTGTGAAATGTACTTTACCGAATTGATTATCTATTTAGTTAAAAATTAATTTTGCTTTTTTTTTTTTGGCTGGTCACATTGTGTGGTTGGAGTTATTTATTTAGGGGTTACTCAATAGGTCAGGAGTTAATTATTTAGGAGTTACTCAGTCGATCAAGGGTTGATTAGTCGGTTAGCGCGTTGTGTGAGAGTAACTCTTAACTGACCGAATAATTCCTGACCGACATAGTAACCCCTTAATAAGTAACCCGATTACGTATAAAAATTGATTCTCAATTCTCATCAAACTCTGTTTTGATCTCTCTCCTCTAACTAGACCGTGCACCACCACAACACGCCACCAGTCACCGCTGTACATCCTTTCTTCCTCGGACCCCTTGAACTAACTGAGGCCGATTTGGGTCGAAGTTGCTTAAGAGATAAGCTTTTTTTTAATCTTCGAATTTCAAATTCTGAGTCTAGGGTGCTTAGTTTTCTTTTTCAGTTTAGTGATTTTTTTATTTTTGAGAAAACAATTTACTGAATTTTTGGTTCTGGTTTATAAATTTATAATGGATTATTTTGATTTGTTTAATTTCTTGGGGTTGCTTTTATTTTAATTAGCGTGGGTAAATTAATATTATGTGCTCTTCTGATTGTGGCACATGAATTTGCAAGCAGCTGTTAGATTTGTATGTCAACTCTTAGATCTTCTGTTAAAAAATTGATTTTTTATTATTAAATTGGGTTACTAATATTCTTTATAAGATATGAATTATCTAGAAATGTCAAGTTTATAAAGGATTGGTTAGTGATTGTGTAATTACCATTACGACTCATTAAATGTCATTAACTCCCTTTTCTTTTCAATTTTCAGTTTTCTAGAAAGGAATTCTTTCGTTATGATCGAAGGAGGGAAGTTCAGGCTCTTCGAATGAGAGCAACGTTGCCGTTGCCTAGGAGGAATTACGGGCAGATTCCGAAACCGAAGCTAAATCGCAGACTCCATGACAACCAAGGGTTAGAAATACTAGAGGTATAATTGGATTCATTGCTTCCTTACCAACCCTTGAACCCTTGTTCAAGTGCAACCAGACAAATGATTTATGCCAACAAGACACAAGGAGGATTCATTGCTAAGCTTTCTAAATTTGTTATTTCAACTGAATTATATACTTGTGTTTTAAAGGTATGATCTGATTTTGGGAGCAATAAATACATTCTATGTATTTTCCTTACGTTCTTCTTAATATAGGCCTATAGGGTTTCTAAAAGGAATTTATGGGTTTTAAATTGTCGTAATATTTGGTTTTTGTAGGCATATATCAGCGGTTTTTGGGGTTTTGTTTGGATGGTTTATTTTTATAATTTTGTTTATCAACTATGTAAAATTATGAACTTGAATTTTGTTTTTAGTTACTGCTTGTTGTAGAATTTACGAAATATTGGGTTGAATTTGAATCGATTGCTCATCTAATATCAGTCGCTTTTGTACTTAGTTAGATTTTGTGCTTATTGTTAATGGTCTAGCTGACTCGCCGTAGGAGATTACAAGGAGGGGTATTGTATTGGTGTTGAAGTGCTTGAGAATGATCCTGAAAGCAGAGAAGCCGTTTTATGGGCCAAATGTTTGGCCAGCTTCAGGTAATCTATTTGATTTTATTAGTATCTTTGTTAACCAATATGTTGCTCTGAGTAATCTTATGTCTCTATTAAACTTGTGTAGAGCTTGTATCTTTGAAATGAAAATTGTTAAAATTTAGCAGTGCGGAGAGTTGAATTATGCGTTTTAATGTTGTGCCTTCTCTCTGTACACCAAATCTCTTGCCTGGTTGGAAGTAAATTATGGAGAAATACCATAGCCAAGCATTGTAAGTATGACTATATAAGATAATGTATCACTATTCATTTATTATGAGTCATCCTTTCTTTTCTCTTTTTCTAATTTACGAGCAAGTTGCAATGTGTGTTGAAGTTGTCGCAACCTCTCCTTCCACCGAGGCCAGGCCCCCGATAATTTATTGTAATTAATTAGTTAATAAACTTTAAAACCCTTATTTTATTTATATAATATTAGAACATTGTGATTAGTTTTGAACAAGAGGTAAAAGATTTAAATTCCGGCCCCTCTAATAAATTTAGCCAAGATCCGCCACTGTCAACTAAGCAATAACTCAACTTATGTAAATTACGTCTCTTAGTCTTATTAAGGGTTATGTATCTTAATGCCAAGACTGCCAACTTTTAAGACTAAATGACTAGAAAATATATGATTATCTTCAAATAATCAAATAAGTTTACATGTGTTATTTGTTCTATATACAGGAAGGTAGCTAGGAGTGTTGCAAGGATTATATCTCTAGAACTTAGTCTGGACGCGGATTTCTTTGATTAGCATCGGGAAACCTATCTCAATCTTACGCATGTTGCACTTTGAAGGTGGAAATCAAATTGTTTACTTAATTTCAGTAATTGATAACTTATCATATCCATTGTCAATAGTCTTGTAATTTTTTTTGTTACATAAAGATATTGATTCGTCAAAAGGAATTTTTAATAATTTATGGAGCTGGTACACATTCGTTGAAGTGAAATTAGACGGTTGAATGTAGCTATTGACTATTGTGTTATGTGAGATTGCAATATTGCATGTCAATAAAGTACTGTATGGAGCCTTTTGTGAATAATATATGATGATATTAGTTTAGTCAGTGTTAACTTATGATTCTTGGTGCGATTTTTGTTTCGAAAATATGGATTTGATTTATGTTGAATTTGAAAAATAGGTTTTTTTTTTCTTTTTTTTTTTAAATGGGAAATGGGGACTCTTGGTATTAGTTTTTGAAAACAGTTGTTGTAATACGATTCAATACCACATGATTATTGTTTCACTAATTGTAATCTTAGACCGTACGTGATCTTAGACAGACATGTAGTATAAACATACTTAGCTTAGGAAAACATAAATGATTTTAAATTTATTTTAGATCAAATAATGTCACTATACCATTACATGTGTACTTTTTACCCCATAAAATTAAAATGTAGCTTCACACCATCACGTTATTATAATTTAAAGTAGTGTCACAATATCACAAATACAATTTCCTTTTCACTTTTTTACATTTTCATTGATTCCTTCTCTCATTTTTAAACTTACAATTGTTATTGTATTCACTTTAATGTGATTTTTTAATTCGATAGAATTTTAAGCTATATTAACCATCTTAATTTACTTTGATTAACAAATACATATGCTAAGCAAAAAAAACTAGTTAAAGCAAAACCCTTGATTTGTACATCCTAATCAACAACATAAAAGTTTTGAATCTTGAGTTAAGTTTTTGAAATTGGTATATATACATGGAATGTACAAAATAGTCCTAGTTCCAACTTCATATACTGCGTATATACATGTGTCTTCTCTCTTCATCTATTTATTTCATTCTGTTGTTTCTATTTATTTAGACAACATTTGAAGTTGGTTCTTTATCCCAATTCCATTCTGCGTACGATTCATTCTTGGTCTCGATAGCATCACACGCTAGTCACCACCTCCTTCCTCACTGATGTGTTTTGCAAGACACCTTCATGAGTCCATGAATACTGAGATGAAACCAATGGCCATATCATATGTTTCTCCTCCTTGATTTTTCGGAAGGCTATCTTCGTATACTGCTTCATAACCACATTGACTGCCTTTGTATAGTTGCTTGAGTCATGATCTCTGAGGATAGTTCCTTCCGAACCATAAGCTCTAGGATCACTTAGAGTTTCTAGAGGATGTGGAGTATTTAGAAATTCCCTCAAAGCATGTGCTATCAAATTAGGTTGAGCCTTGTCAAATGCATAAAGAGCACACCCTTGCGGAAGTAGTGGATGAGACGGCGATAATTTTTCAGTTGGTTGAAGAATAAATACTTGCCCTGTAGGAGAGTACAACATTTTCTGCACGAGCATGCAAATAGAACGAGGTGAGACCATTTTCATGTTTATTAAGTTTTTGTAGCTAATTAAAACTAGCTAATTAAAACTAGCTAACACTGGTACAATGACAAAAGAATGACCGTGTGGTAGTAAAAGTGAAACTGGGAGTAGAAAAAAAGCAGTATACTCACATGCTTGTTGAGACATGGGTGTGATCTGAAAGATTTGTTTAAACGCTTGAGGACCTGTTCAACTTGTCTAGGATAATTGCACGAGAACGCTCTAGGAACAATATCCCTATGCATGATGACATTTTGAACCATGCTTTCATCAAGCTGTAACTGTTTCAGGATTTTTTCACCTCCACAAAACACAAATGGTGATCCAAAAGTAACCACTGGTAAAAGGATCGATGGCTTGACAGCTCTTCTCGCCATAAGCATCATTTGGACTAATAGTGATAGACTGCCCCCTAGAGAATGACCTGTAAATTGAAATTTTGCATCTTCTCCATGGGATTCTATATGATTTTGGATTTCTGGCATCAATTGCTCGTATATTCCCTTAGCTGCTTCATAAATTCCTCGATGAACAGCTGCATCTGTTTCCTGTGTTTGTAGATAGTGCTTATTTAGGTTTTAGATTTTAGAAGGCTAGAAGCCCTCCAAATCTCCAATTAGTTTATTGAACTATTGATTATAACAGTTTTTACCTCAAAATTGGCAGGCTCAAAAAACAGGTTTGTTTGCCAAGATGCCAGCGATTCAGACCCCTGCAACAGTACGGTAATACAAACGCAGAAAGTTTATACAATGAGGGGTTAAAATATCTTGAATCTATGTCAAAGAAGAGGAGTATAACTTACCTGGATTACAAAATAGCGCACATGAGTACTTGGATCATCACAAATGAACCACTCACAAGGGGAAGAATGCAATGATTGAAGTTCTTTTGCAGCCGCTTGCTTTTCTTTCTCCTTTGCAGCCACTACTGTTGTCATTGTTGTTGCAGCCATTTGTGCGGCCATCTCTGAATTACAACCTCTCGGTACAGGACATACCTCTCTATTTGTTGCGTAAAAGGCATCTCCACAGGTACTGGAATGAGATTCTTTTTTGGCTCGACTTTGAACATGACAAGCTGCTGATGCAGCAATTTCGTAGGCAACAGAAGGGCTAACTACATAATCCCTTTGCTGTAGATTTTCCAAATTATCTTCTTGTTGGTGAGCAGAGTCTTTGGCTAACATTGCGTTCAGTGCAATAGCCTTCGCTTTCTTCTCCAATGAAGATGTTATGAAATGTAGACCATGGTATTGTTGCAAGTCATGAGCCTACATGTTTAACATATTCTCTTAGTTCCCATCTTTGTGCTTTAAAAAAAAAAAAAACAATCTTTTTGTTGTTGATCTCATTTCATCCAATTTCATTTGTACATCACCTTTGTTCTTTTTCAGCATAAAATAACTTTTAAGAAAACAATGATCCAATAAATTGAAATAAGGGTTACTCGAGTTCAATTCACAACTAAAGGGAGATTTTATAAGTCCATATGATTTCAATAATACTATATACAGAATAAGCAATTTTCATGAGGTGGGGAGAACAATGACTTAATGAACATAAGAAACCTTCTTTTTATTCACAGATATTAAATGCATACCTTAAGTTCTGGAATTGAATAAGCTTTGTTACAAAGGTAAGACAGCTTAGAGAACTTCTTTGCATCGGTCCAAGGCACATGAACGACCAACTTTGAGAATGATTCTAAGTCGATTTTTACTTCATCTTGTGTCTCTCCATAGTCCACTAGACAACTATCCTCTCCATTACAATCTTCTTCAATCTCTTCGTACCTACAATCGACTTCCTTCTCCTTTCTACCCTTCCACCGCGTTCTCAGCTCTAGGAGCCTCTGCACCCAATTCACTCTTTTCACCCTATCCTCCCTCTCAACTTCCTCTTCCATTTCACCATCACTCAATAAGTTGTCATCAACTGTCGTCGTAACATTCTCATTCCCAGTCTCAGTATCAAACAGTAGCGCATTTATATGAGTTGAAGAGGTGGAAGTTGGACATGGGTTAGAGAAAATCCCAAAGGAACGGATTGATTTCAGCTTACTTATTCGGGTTGAGGAGGATAAGAGGTTGTTGTCTGAGCATGATCTTCGAATAGTAGCTTGTTTATACAACTCTTCCCCGGAGGATGACCGTCTGAGACTGCCATTCTCGCCAAGAATGCCTATCCTAGCTGCGGCAATGTGGGATGTGGATATATTCATTGAAGAGCATGCCATGGCTGCCTTGTATAAATTTTAATACCTGAAAATATAATGCAAAACATATTTATATTATATCATCATTAGTCAACATCAAGTTTTCTGTTACATGTTTCTTTTAATAATAGAACTTGTTAAATGTTAGAGAAGAATAGACTAACTGAAAAAAGATTTTGGTGAAAACGTTTGGTTTAATAAAAAGATTTGGTAGTTAATACTCTTTAACAATCTAAAGTTGGCAAATTTGTTTAGGTTTGCTTTACCTTAAACAGCTGCCGATAAGTTGAAGTTAGCGGAGAAATCCAAAAACGGGGTGATCTCTTTTCACATTGAAACTCTTTTTCATTTTCTAGACAATTGCCAATAATCAAGCCATTTATGCTATGCTCGCCTAGTGACCTGGATGCAATATAGGACTCCAACCCCTTTGTTTCAATTTCAAAATAGTAGGCCGCATTTCTGGTTTGATCAATTTCTATTTAATGGTACATCAATTTTTCAATTTAACAGATTGAACCTTCATTTTTCTGCTATTAATCTTAATGTTTCTAACAAGTCACAACAAAGATTCAAAAGAATAACTCCGCAAGTCAAGTCTAGGTTTGATTATTCACCTAGGTTGAACCTATCTAACTTAATTGAACGCGCGTGAACTTATTTAAACTTATTAGAACTCATCTTTGTTGTAAACCTATTCACCCAAATCATTAGGCCCGTGTACTTTACCTTATAAAAAAAAATAAAAAAAACAAGGATAATTACGTTCAATATCGATTGTTACGTTTAACAGTTTTACTCGTATAATTTACCAATGGTAAATTTCATGTTTTGATTTGTTTGTTTCAAAACTTTCACATTTGAACTGTCAACGTCATACTAGGTACTTAGGGGTGGGAATTCGGTCTGGCAGTTCGGTTTGACCTCGGTTTGAGTCGGTTTCGCTTTGGAGCGGTTCGGATTGAAACGGTTTAGTTTAGCTGGCGGGTCGGTTTGGTTCGGTTTGGGTTAGTCACGGCTCGGTTTGGTTTCGGTTTATTTCTTTGCGGTTTAAATTCGGTTTGGGTCATAAGCGGGTCGGTTTATAAACGATTCGGATTATGTCGGTTCGGTTTGATACGGGTCGGTTTAAGGGCGGGTTTACCCGGGTCAATGTCAGTTCGGTTTACAAACGGTTTGGATCAAGCCGATTTGGTTTGAAATGGGTCGGTTTAGGGGCGGATTTACCCGGGTCAATATCGGTTCGGTTTATAAACGTTGCGAATCATGTCGGTTCAGTTTGAAATGGGCCGGTTTAGTAGAGGGTTTACACAGTTCAATTGGTTCGGTTTATGAACGGTTTGGATCATGTCGGTTCGGTTTATAAGCGGTTTGGGTCATGAATTCAATTCATGATTGTTTTAAAGATCGCGTCATGACCATGATTTAATGAGTTGATACTTATAATACGATAAATCGATAATTAAGAATGTACAAATATTCAATTAGATTGATCAACAAGTGTTTTAAACTTTTAAGTTTTAATAATCAGATATGTAAATATGTTTATCGATTGTAGATTTGTAGTACATACCAATAATTCAATGAGGCAATGATACTTATGATAGTATGATAATGATACCAACCATACATTCGTACGATATGATATACATAATAATTAATCTATAATTACATATACATTAACAATATCGTATTGAATCAATTTCCATTTCCAAACATTGCATTTCTTATAAATTATAACTTACACAAGATTAAATGGATTCGTTATTTAGTTTGTTACTTTATTTAGATTACTAACTCAAACAACTTAATAAGTTAAATGGACGAAATCACGAAATCATGACCATGATTTAATGAGTTGATACTTATAATACGATAAATCGATAATTAAGAATGTACAAGTATTCAATTAGATTGATCAACAAGTGTTTTAAACTTTTAAGTTTTAATGATCAGATATGTAAATAACTAAATATGTTTATCGATTATAGTACATACCAATAATTCAATGAGGCAATGATACTTATGATAGTATGATAATGATACCAACCGTACATTCGTACGATATGATATACATCATATACATAATAATATAATTACATATACATTAACAATATCGTATTGAATCAATTTCCATTTCCAAACATTGCATTTCTTATAAATTATAACTTACACGAGATTAAATGGATTCGTTATTTAGTTTGTTACTTTATTTAGATTACTAACTCAAACAACTTAATAAGTTAAATGGACAAAATCACGAAATCACTAATTAAAGTGGTGATGAAAGCATTATGCAATACTAATGTACGAATAGTCAAATATACAACGGTTAGATTGAATGCCCATGAAAAACAATGGTTAGATTTTCATTACTTTATTAGTTATTAGTATTATTACTTATTAAGTTATTATTAGTTTTATAGTTTATTATATATACTGATATACAATCACAGACTCACAGATGTCAGATATTGTCATATTGATGAGCATTAAGCCATTAACTCATTAAGTCATTAACTATGTCGTATTGAATCAATTACAATTTTGAAACATTTGCGTTTCTTACAATTTATAACTTATAAGTAATAAACTAATAATAATAATAATAATAATAATAATAATAATAATAGTAATAATAATAATAATAATAATAATAATATTATTATAATAATAGTAGTAGTAAACTAGTAATAATAATAATATTAACAAATAATTATACTAACAATAATAATAATAATAATAAATAATTAAAAAAAACGGTCAAAAAGACCTAGAAAAGCACAAAGAAAATCTAGACCGTTAGATCTAGATGAATATTCTAGAATCTACAAAAAAAAAATGAACGGTTAGATCTAACTTAGATGTTGAGATTGAATATGGACGGTTAGATCAACTGAAGTAAAACCTAAACCTAGAAAAAAAACCCACTCTCACTCTCTCAGCCATTCTCATTCACTCATTCAGCCGTTTCTCTCTCAATCTCACAATCTGTCATAGTTTCTCTCTCTAACTTCTCAGTTTCTCACTCTTTCGTTATGAAATTCTCAAGAATCTCAAGCTCAATTTCGTTTCATTTGTGTTTTGGATCTACATTTCTGATTTCTAGCTTTACATTCTCGTATTTTTGTTAATTTTTGTTGTTTTCGTTTTGATTTTTTTCGTTTTTGTTCCGGTTTGTTTATTTAGGGTTTTTGTTTTCGTTTCATTTGTGTTTTGGATCTACATTTCTGATTTCTCGCTTTACATTCTCGTTTTTTTGTTAATTTTTGTTGTTTTCGTTTTGATTTTTTTCGTTTTTGTTTCGGTTTGTTTATTTAGGGTTTTTGTTTTCGTTTCATTTTTGTTTTGGATCTAAGTTCTGATTTCTGATTTCTGATTTCAAATCTTCCTCTCCTTCAAGCCGTCAAACCCTAAGGTAATTTTTTTGTTAATTTATTCGATTTTTTTCGTTTTCGTTTCGGTTTTTTTTTTATTTCAAGTTCTGATAATCTACATTCTTGATTTTTACTTTTGATCTCCAGTTCAGGTAGTTCTCCATCTTCAAATCTCCTTCAAGCCGTCAAAGGTATTACTTTTTCCTTTTTGTTTTTTTTTAATACAGTTTTTCTGTTTTTGTATTTGATTATTGTTGTTGTTCTTGCTTGAATATAGTCGAAATATGCCTAAAATGAGTAAAATCTGTTGTTGATTGTATTTTTGTTTTTTACGGGAAAATGGTAGATTTGTGCTGTTTTGTTGTTTATTATGCTCGATTTAAAAGTAATGATGATGGGTTGTTCAGATTATGTGATTATTATTGTTGGAATACATGCATTGTTTATTTATTGGGATTTTAGCTTTATATTTTTAACCCATATTGTTGGAATACAAGCATTGTATATGATTGGCTTAAAGTTAGTACTTAAAATGTACACATATGTGACTGTATCGTATATAACTTTCTATATTCTGTTAGGATATATGTTGTAATCACGTTTGTTGTATAATTCTGAATTTTGAAACATTGACTAGTGCAAATAAAATTCTGAAATATGAACTATCTATTTAGTTGAATTTTGGTATTGAGTGAATAGGATTCACTGTCGTGACTTCAGTGTCAGTCACATGAGACAATGCATGCTTAATTGCTCACTATTAGTAGAATCTGTCACTTAATTTGGTACTTATAAGTTATAAATGCTGTTTTTTTTTTTGTTTCAGTCATGTCTCGCGAGTATGATGAATTTGACTATGAGAGGCAATCAAATTTTGATACTGTTAGCTCTCAAGCTGCCTCTGTCTCGGTTGATGATGCTAGTAATACCGGCACTATCAATCCTTCTGTTAATAAACGTCAAAGAACCGCAGGTATATGGAAGCATTACACTTTTTTTGTAAAGACGATAGGTAATGAAAATGTAGATTATGCTCGTTGTAATTTGTGTGGCAAAGAATATAAAGCACCTGGTAAAGCGGGTACTTCAACTTGTAGAGCTCATATTAATGCATGTTTGGAAAAACATGGTCTCCAGTCCGGTAACGAATCACAATTTGATCAAAAAACTTATTTACAAAAGTTTGCTAAAGCTATAATCTGCCATGCATATCCTTTAAATATTGTAGAGCATGAATATCTTAGGGAACTTCATGCATATTTGAATCCTAAGGTGCAGCATGTTTGTAGAAAAACTATGTTAAAGTATGTTATTGCTGAGCATGATAAATATAAATCCTTGTTGCTTGAGTCTTTGGCAAATGTTTCTGGTAGAGTTAGCTTTACATGTGACTTGTGGACTGCATGTACTAACCGAGGCTATCTCACTTTGACTGCTCATTATGTTGATAACAGTTTTGGCCATTCCTATTACATCGGTGGCCTCTGAATCTTCTTTTAGTTTGGGTGGTCGTATTTTGAACAAATATAGGGGTAAACTTTTGCCAAAGAATGTTGAGGCATTGGTTACCACCCAAAATTGGTGCCGTGGTTATCAAGCGGATGTTGAGGAAGACGTCCTCCTTATTGGTAAAGAGATTG